ATTATCTCATATATTTAATAGTGTTAAAAACCGATCAATCCGACCGAACCACACCGATCTGATTTAAATTGGATTGGTTTGGTTATCATATAATAGTGAATTGGATTGGTTTAAAAATTTTATTAACCGATTAAATTGAATTGGATTAAAAAATATTAAAATCTGAACCAAACCACACCGCGAACACCCCTATGAGTCACTATTGAAAGACGGCCTGAAATCATACTTCAATGAGAAGAGGCTGTTAGTCAATTCCTCCTCCGAGAACTTCAGCTTGAGCACATCCCCATTGACTTTAACTTTTCAGTGAACAGAGATTGTGTCCATTATTGTTGTTGAGATTAAAAATCTTGCTACATCAAACCTTCTCTTTTTACTTGTACTATCATCCAAGCATATACATTTCCCCCAAACTAATGCCAATTCTTCAAAGAATTCTGGGCCCCAAGCATGCAGAGGAGCTCCCTGGCACCTTATCCAAACAAATCTTTCTTTTTCTACCATTGAGGGTGACCACGGTTTTACCTCAGAAAACCACTGTCCAAGCCATTCCGGGGCTCCCTCCACTAAGTCCTTAATTTCGTCTTTGTTCTCACCATCCATAAGGACCAGCTTTCCCCCCATAGCTCTCAATCTACATGAGAAGTACCCTTCCATGTAGAACTTCTCTTCTAGATTGGGTACAATCTCCACTGAGTGAGCAACTCCCACATAGCTTCCTTGCAGCCACTGAAACTCTTCTTTTTTCACCTTAAACTCCAATCCCGACCACTCCTTTCCTCTTTTTTTCTGTTTCCATACTAGTCCGCTCTTCGGTTGCTTCTGCGTTTCATGGGCTTTCCTTTTATCTTCTCCACGCATCAAGGGGCTCTCAAGTGTCTTCTCTACGCTTTTCCTGGATCCAAGACCTTCTTGTCCTCTCACAGCATCAACATATGACTTCCCATGAACAATTACTTTTGATGGGATGATTCTCCTTACTCTCTCCCCTTTATGTTTCTCCTCTGGGTATTTGGCCAGATTTACCCATAATTTATGCCCCTCAACCTTTATTTGATCAAGCTGTTTTTTAAGCTCCCTAATATTCCTTACATTAAGGAACCTGACAAAACCAAATCTCCTTCCGTTCTTGCTTCTCCTCTGAGGACTATAAATATCAAATACCCTTCCAAACTTGCCAAATGTTCTCCACATTTCTGTGTAGCTCCAGTCCTCCGACATATTTGTAAAAAAGAAGGCTGTAGCTTGCTTATATTGCCCTCTGTCATACCCCCACTGCCTATGCATACTCCAGTTCCCTCCTTTCCACTGTTCTCTGTCAAACCCCCCCTCTCTGTGCTCATTCCGTTTCCCATTCCAGATAAGTTGCCTTGTATCCACCCTTTTCCACTGTCGACCTCTCTCTTGGACTCTGATCTTCTCATTACCTAGTGCTGACCGTTGATGCTGCGCCCTGTGTCCAGTGTTTGAATCCCATTCTCTCGCTCTACCACTCTCTCTCATGTTTTTTTCGGGAACATAATTTCTTTTTATAACTTAATTATTTTATGCAAGGTTTTCTTTTTAAGTTGTCAAGCACTATAAAAGAAATTTAAAGTCTAAACTCTATCTACATTTCCCACTTTCTTTTGTGGTTTGCACCTAAGGGTGTGGGGGTTCGAGCCAACCTTCCATGCAATAATTAATGTTTCGGATTAATTGACCTTAGAGCAATGCTAGGGGCACTCGCCTCCTGCACTTTCCGACAAACACTTTCTCTTTTATTGGGCCACGTTATTTTGGTTCCCGAGAGGTTCACCTAAAAGCTTTAAAGAAGCTTACGTGGCCCAATGAAAGGGGAAGTGTTGGCCGGAGAGTGCAGAAAGCAAGTGCCCCTAGCACTGCTCTTGACCTTATATCTAATTAATTATTACTAGTTATTGATTTCGGCATGCATATTTTCTGTTTAGGAGTTGGAAAGAAGTCCTTTTCTTCTCCTTAACCCAGGCCCAATCTTCTAATTTAGATATACCGCCTCAGCTTCTATTGATCAATTGCTTATCACCAAGCTCATCAGTGGGTTCATGATCCTCTAATAAGTCCACGCTAAATCCCCATGTGAAGGTTTGATGATACTTATAGTTGTATTTTCATCTTGCCCAGCTGATTTCAGGACAAACATGCACACTTTAACTGTTTAACATAAATGTTTATATTTTAACTTGTTTTGTTGCTTTACTTGATGAAATCCGAACATGTTTATTATTAGGAATACAAACTCAATTCTAACACCAAGAGTTTCACCCCATCTCAAACAATTGTTAGGCTTCCACCAGTATTTGATGGTTCCTTCTATTATCCGCCCAATGTGTCTTCTGTGATGCATATGAATGGTACGCCTGTTTGTTTGTTGCTGTAAGCTTTTTTATATAACCAGAGAGATTGTACACAATATTTTCTTTTTCTTTTGATATGTGATTCTCTGTCATTCTGTCAACCATGCTTGTGGATGGGGCATTCATTTAATTTAAAATTTTCTTCCCGATAATTTTAGAAAATCTTCTTTGCTAAAGTATTCAACACCAGTAGGTTATATTTTTTTGAGATAACACTTTGGTGGCGACATTAATAGATTAACCGCTGCTGCTTTGTTCTCAGTATATTGTTGATTTCTTTTGTTCATTGGTTTCTCCCTCTTGGATTATCAAACACAGTAACACACCTTACTCCATTTGATACTATCTAGATACAAATAACTTTTCTTGTAATGTAGTAATAAATTCTAATAGACTAAGGTAGTTTTCTGAGGTAATAGAATAGCCAATCCAGTCGTCCATCACTGATTGGCCTAGTGGGCATCCCTGAAAGGGGCGGTGTTTGGGAAATGAAAGTCCTGGGTTCAAACCCAGGCACTCACTCCCCCATCCCCAAGTTTCCCCAGTTCAAAAAAAAAAAGAAAAAAAGGAATAGCCAATCCAATCTGTTCATTTCTAATTGTTTAGGCAAACCTTCCAGATAGGAGATTTCATACGTGGTATACAAAGGTCATATCCTTCGCTTAGAATCCTTTCTTGAATCATAATACACATGGTAATTAAGCATCATTATTCATATTATCTTTCACCTTTCTTTTCTGTAATTCTTTCTGGTTTTGATAGAATAATAAGATGATGATTTGATTCTTTGATTCTTTGATTCTTTGATGGGTTCTCAACTTTTCTTGCAAGTGAATTAAAAAGTTGTTCCTTTTTTTTACAATTTGAATCAACCTTCATTAGAACCATGGATGAAATTTTTTTCGATCTTCCATGGAGACTGAGCTCCAAGAGGATCCCAAGTTCTGGGTTCCTCCTAAACCCAGTTTTGGGTTCATGGAACCCCAAAACTTAGGTTCCCAAGAGGATGATGAAGAGGCAGTGAAGATGAGGTCGAGGATGAGGGGAAAGAAGAAGGTGAAAGAAATTAAAGTTAATTACAATGATTTTTTTTTTTTGGTTGGAAGATTTTCACATAAATTATGCCATGTCATCGTGCCATATCATCAAAAAAATCATCTACATTAAATAAATAATGTCACATATCGTCCACATTGCCATGTATTGCATTTTTTCATGATTATTAACGATGACGTGATAGCTCATTTTTTTTCCATTCTTATTTTATTCCTTTAACTTGTATTACAAATTATTTTAATATATTAATATAAATGCTCAAATTAAAGTTACAAAAAAAAATTATTTGAATGACATTTTAGT